GGCCCCCGAGCTCCTGGCCCGGGAGGCTCGCCCCTGGCCTCTCCCCTGGTGTCCCCTCTCCCCTGCAGCCTCAGCTCGCTCGCTCCGCCGCCGACGCAATGCTCTGGGTGGCGGGGCTGTGAGCTCCTGGGGCAGCGCAACTGCAGAGCCCAGCCTGACCCAGTGCTCTGTGCTACGTGGTGGCGGGTGGCCACCGGTGCCCCAGGCAGCACGGTAAGGGAGCAGGGGGGGTTGGATGGAGAGCAGGGGCGTTCGGGGTGGTGGTCAGGGGGTGGGGGTGTGGATAGGGGTTGGGGGGGGGAACAAGGGGTTGAATGGGGGCAGGGGTCCCGGAGGGGCAGTCAGGAAGGAGGAGGGGTTGGATGGGGTGGCAGGGGGCAGTAGGGGGCAGGGGTTCCAGGGGCAGTCAGGGGACAGGGAGAAGGGGTGGTTGGATGGGGCAGGGTCGGGGGGGGGCATCAGGAATGAGAGGAGGGGTTGGATGGGGTGGTGAGGATCCGGGGGGGGTCAGGGGACAGGGAGCGGGGGTGTGTGGATGGGGCAGGGGTCCCAGAAGGGCCATTAGGGAACAGGGGGTTTGGATGGGGCAGGAGTCCCGGGACGGGGGGCAGATAGGAGGTGGGGGCTGGGCCACGACCCCCTCCCCTAACCGGCCCTCCATACAATTTACGAAACCCAGTGCGGCCCTCAGGCCAAAAAGTTTGCCGGTCCCTGGTTTAGAGTATAACTAAGTTTTAAAAGTTCATGGAGAATAGATCCATCAATGGCTATTAGCAAAGATAGTCAGTGACGCAACCCGATGCTGCTGGTGTCTCTAAATCTCTAACTGCTGGAAGCTGGGACTGAACAACGGGGATGGATCATTCAAAATTGCCCTGTTCTGTTCATCCCCCGAAGCAACTGGCACTGGCCACTGTCAGAGACAGGATACTGGGCTAGATTGACCATTGGTTTGACTCAGTATGGCCGTTCTTATGTTCCTTAAATTCTTCTTACATATCTTCCCTCTTACCTGAAACTTCCAGTGTGTACTCCTGGCCGGTTCAGGGACATCACATAGGTCATGATGTTAACAACCCATTGGTAGTTTAAATTACCCGCACCAGAGCCCTGCTCCAAACTCCGGATCTTTAATCCAAAATGTGTATTTTTGTAATGGAGCAAACATCAAGTCTGAACTTGAAGGTACAAAATCCAGACCTGAACTTTCCCATGTCTAGTAGTTCAGACTCATTTCATTCTACAGACACAGTAGGTTGGAGCTGTGAATTCTGAGCAAGACCTGAGGGATTCAGAACTGGGTATTTGGTTCAGTTCCAGTCACGTCACCTCTTAATTATCTCCTCTCTAGTCTAAATAACCTCAAACGCCATCAGTCTCTGCTCACATGTGAGCCGCTCCACACCATGCAGCATCTACACTGGCCTACATTGGACTCTGTAACTATCTCACTTCAAATAGGGTGACCAGACCCAAATGCTATCCTCCAGATGAATATTTCTTTATAAAGTACTAGCTCAGTATCTTTGGACTGCTGCCAATATGAGACAGCCTCCTCTTAGCCCTCTTTCTGGCTGCTGAACAGTGGACCGAGACTTGGGGCACGTCTTCACTACCCGCCGGATCGGCGGGTAGCAATCGATCTATTGGGGATCGACTTATCGCGTCTAGTGAAGACGCGATAAAATCGATCCCCGATGGCTCTGCCGTCGACTCCAGAAATCCACCACAGCAAGAGGTGGAAGCGGAGTCGACGGCAGCGCGGCAGCGGTCAACTCGCCGCTGTCCTCACAGCCAGGTAAGTCAACCTAAAATACGCAACTTCAGCTACACTATTCACGTAGCTGAAGTTGCGTATCTTAGGTCGACCCCCCCCCCCGGTAGTGTAGACCTAGCCTCAAAATACTGGGTTTATCACTACACCCAAATCCTTAGTATGCAGACTACAGTAATGGGCCCCATGGAAATACCTTGGTACACAGAAAAAGAATCTCTAATTCAGTGCCATTTACAATATTTTTAGATTAGGGGCTCTCCCTACCCAAGTGCATCCATTTACACTTAGACACCTGACATTTCAGATTCTCCTAGGTACCCGTAAACACTGAAACTAAGCCAGACCCAGGGCTGGCTCCAGCTTTTTTGCCGCCCCAAACGGCGAAGCGGAAAAAAAAAAAAAGATAAAGCCGCGATCGGCGGCACTTCGGTGGCAGCTTTACCGCGCCGCTTCATTCTTCGGCGGCAATTCGGCGGCGGGTCCTTCCCTCTGAGAGGAACTGAAGGACTCGCCGCCGAAGACCTGGACGTGCCGCCCTTTTCCATTGGCCGCCCCAAGCACCTGCTTCTTTTGCTGGTGCCTGGAGCCGGCCCTGGCCAGACCAAAGAAACCCGTACCTGAGCTGCTGTCTTCGACTGTCGTTTGAGATTTCACACCAGTCATTTAGGATGTGGCTACCATCCTATGCCTTAATGTTACTAATAGTATTAATAGCGGCACCTAAAAGTTTTCTACCTAGTGTACAATTAATGAAAAGGTCAATGAGAATTCTCTATAGGGCACTGTTCATTACAAGGCCCATTGCTTATGCAATCTGTCCATATCTCGCTTCCCAAACGGTCGAGAAGACTGGAGATGGCAGCTTATAGACCTGCCTGCGAGCTTCTAATTAGCAGGTTTAATTGTATGGAAACCCTCAGGACATTCCTCTTCCAGTGCATTGGCTTTTTGATAAGTTGAGCAGTGCCTGTGCCGTCACAGGGTGTGTTCTTCCCCCTGTGAAGCAGCTGTGTATTGAACTGAGTCAGGGTTGATATGGTACTTGGGATGGGCACTTCTAGTGGGCTGTAACCTGTCCTTCTCGCCGGCATGCTCCAGATGACTCAGTACAGCCACCAGAAGTGCTGTCTCAGTGTTGTCTTACCTTCTCGATACACCAGCCCAACATGAAATCTGGGCACCAAAGAATGCTGCCTACTGAGTACAGATCCTTTCTGCTACCTTGGCAAAGGGAGATGGATGAAAGGATACAAAAGCAACTTGCTATGGAGGAAAGTGGGAGCACATAACCAGAGGGTCGCATTATAGCTGCCTTTCTGTGGGAGAGAGAAGGGAACACTTTACCACACAGGGGACGGCCGTAATGGAGCCACATTTGGTCCATGAGCACAAGAGAGGGGTCACTAATGCTGCCATCACTCTGCCTCCGGCACGCTAGGGCTCAGCTGGGGAGAGTCTGTGGTGCACCGGTGCCTTAGTGAAGCAGCTGGCTCTGGGCAATGTGCTCCCCCAGTATCTGCTTCTGGCCTCCACGGGCACAAAGCTTCCAGACACTGCTGCTGTGGTTGGGCACCTCTTCCTCCCAGCCCCACACTGCTCAGGCCCTTGGAGCCATAATAAAGCCCTTTGGAAGCACTGGGACTCATACATGACCCGGTCCAGAGGCTGGAGGGGCCATCTTTTGGGTGAGATATGAAAAGAGTGCTTGGCGCACTGTGGTCATTGAGCATGCCAGGGCATTTTCCCCAAGAGAAGGCACTGAGGGGCAGATTTTCAAAGGCATTTCTGTGTCTAAAGGTGTAGCTAGGTACCTAACTGGATTTTCAGAAGTGCCTACGCAGGCTAGGCCCCTAAATCCCATTGATTTCAACCAGAGATAGGTGCCCAGCCTGCCTTCCTCTTTTGAAGAAATCGCTAGGTGCCTGTCTGCACCTTTAGGCACCTAAATACCTTCGGAAATCTGGCCCTGAGATACTGCACCGATGGGTGATATATAAAGACCTAAACCAGTGTTTCTCAAACTGGGGTCGCCGCTTGTGTAGGGGAAGCCCCTGGCGGGCCGGGACGGTTTGTTTACCTGCCGCATCCGCAGGTCCGGCCGATCGCGGCTCCCACTGGCTGCAGTTCGCTGCTCCGGGCCAATGGGAGCTGCTGGAAGCGGCGCGGGCCGAGGGAC